AAATAATTTATTTATTTTCTCTCAAATTGTAATTCATTCACAGAGGGGTTATAAACACAGAAAGGCAGGATGTGGGGAAGGGGATGACACTGGAGTGTGGGTGTTCAGGGGGAATACAGATATCTTTCAGAACCGGGTATCGGCTGGGTGAAGGTTCAGGGGACAGGTCACTATGACTCTGCCTATGACTCGCTTGTCCTTATCTAAGTTGATATTGTCTGCCAAGGCTACCTATTTACAAGGTCTATGACTACTCAGGCTTGTAAATTTCCACAAAAGCTGCCTGTTTACATTAGCTTATAGCCATCTGTTTCAATGTTTTTTCACAGAGACCCAAGACTTGTTGTTAGTATACATGTATGACGGGCCTATTGCTGATTTTAGGCCTATGCCTGATTTTAGGTCTTCAGTGTGTAAGCCCGGCTGCCCCTGACATCTCCTCCCTTCTCTAAGTATAGAAGGGCTGTGGCGATTCTAATCTTGCGAAGGCGGGGATAGAGGCCTGACCTCCAGTAATTGAAGGGGACCTTGTAAAGGCTCCGGTCCCCCTGTCGTTGTCCAGTAAGGCATGAGGGTCCCATCCCATACATCTGATATCTTAATATATATATATATATATATATATATATATATATATGTTAGTTATCAATTATTCTTTATTTGACAGATAAATAATATCCTGAAGTAAAAAATATTATTCATGTTTCTGTCTTGTATATTTTCTAACCTTTTTAATAACTAAATAAATAACTAAATAATAATAGAAAATGACATTTATATAATGAATAAAAATGACAGAATTCTAACATTTGTACATATTTCATATTTATAATGCTTGTTTGTTTGATTATTAGTAAATTAATTTTATTGAATTGTTTACTGTGGAGACATTTTTCCACAATCTATTAATCTCTCGCACTGCTCTTTTGTTGTGCTTATATCTAAGTATGTTTTGTTCCATGGATTGTTGTGACTACTGTGATAGTTGCCATTTTCAAAATGCTAGGCACCTCACTAAGTCCTCTCTCAAAAGATATTTCATCGCTAGGGGACTCTATGATATTAAAAGCATATTACCCCTATTTTGTAACTGAAAGAAAATGAGATACATTCAATTTAAATACTTCTGTGCCTATACAATTGCTTAGAGACACAAAAGAAACTTGAATTCATATCTCTCTGAGGTCCAAGACAATACATTCATACATTCTCCTAATCTCTTGAGATAATTATGTTGATGTGGATGAGATTCACTATAGCCACATTTTGTCATCTAAAATTTTTATTATGGCCCACAACCAAACAATATTCTTCCTTTATAAGGAATGGTGCTTTGTACACTACAGGGAATTATTTTAAATCTGTAATGTTTTTAAAACTTAGCTCGTTCATTAGCCAAAGAGCTACTAGGCCTTTGGCTAAAGACATATATAATACTCACTGTCATGCATTCATTTCAAAACAAAGCCTAGAGTAAAACTTCGAACCTAGGTAGGTGAAGATGGTGAACTCTGTATATCCACAGATAGAGTGGATGCTTTACAAAACTATTGTCCCCTGAAAAATTTGTAGTTCTGCAATTCCATGATATCAGCTTCACAGTGCTGTATGTCAGAATTTGCTTTATGAGTAGTAGGGCTAAAAGCAACATTACATACAGGTTTCCTTGGTTCACTGTCACACCCAGCTTATCGTCATATAAATATGTGGCATAGATTTTTTTTAAAATCTTCTTTCTCCAGTTTCTGATAAGAGCACACCTTATTTCCTGTGGTAAGGCTGAAATCATATGGTATCCTTCCGAGCAGTATTTTCTCATCAAAAATAAAGATTAAAATGATTTTATAATATGACTTGAAATCTAGAGTATTTCCTCCAGCAGTTCTATTATTGTGAGTTGTATTGTTATTTCTATTATTCAAGATTATCTGTGCTATGACAGGTACCTTCCTCCTTCTTCTTCTTCCTCCTCCTCCTACTCCTCCTCCTCCTCCTCCTCCTCCTCCTCCTTCTTCTTCTTCTTCTTCTTCTTCTTTCTCTCTCTCTCTCTCTCTCTCTCTCTCTCTCTCTCTCTCTCTCTCTCGCCAATTGTTATCTCAAAACGTAAGTTCTCAACTATGGCTCCAGTGCCATGCCTGTCTTCGTTCTGCCATGTCCCCCACCATGATAGTCACAGACTCACCCTCTGAAACTGTCAGCTTCGCCCTATAAATTCTTTCTTTTATATGTTATGTAGGTCATGATGTATTCACAGAAATAGAAAAATACACTGGTACTATTTCACTGATTTCTTTATTGTTGTATTTATTAGTAGTATATTGAAGGCTACTAAGTTCTGTGTATTTTGTATCTTGCTCTTTTTTTGAGTATGTTTATCAGCTATAGAAGTTTTTTCTGTAGTCTTGAGAATATTTAATATATAAAATCATGTTATTTGCAAATGTAAATACCTTGACTTCTTCCTTTCTTATTTCTTCCTCCACTATGGCCCTCACATGTCATATTGTTCCAGCTAAGAAGTTACATTGCTAAAAATAAGTGGATACACTGGATATTAGTGTTCATGATTTTTAAATGCTTTAATTTCTTTCTCCTTTTAAATCACAAAAATGTGTTTGTATTTGGCTGATAGCATGTAGCAATTTTAAGATTGTTAAGGTACTGAATGGTAATTTTCAAGTACCGAGTTCACTTTCCAATTCCTATCATAGTACAAAAGAAGATACCTCTTACTTATTTCTCAAAAAAGAAAACTTTTAATAGAGCAGAGAAGAAACTATAGAAGACTCTTACAACATTGAAGCTACTGTGTGATATTGTGACAGTGGATATAATGGTGATGACTCACATGCTCCCGTAAGTTTGTCACCTCAAAAAATGACCCATAATATAAAATATGGACTGAAATTATTATGTATCAAATATACCACTCTGATAGATATTGATAATGAGAGAGGATGTACATATAGAGATGAGCATAGGGAACATTATGATAAATCAGTATCCATTCAGCTAAATATGCGGTGAAGTTAATATTGCCTGAAATAGATTGTTAAAAATTCTTTTCTCAGTGAATGAAATAAGTAGGTATATGTATTTCATAAAATATAGTAATGGTAACACAATCTCACAGTTAAAGTTAAGTGACTATCAATTCCAGTATTTAAATCTTAAGTTCATCTAGGATTGAAACATTAAAAAGAAAATATTCGAGCTGGAAAGATGACTCAGTAATTTAGAGCATTGCTATACTTGCAAAGGTATTAGATTCACTTCCAAGATCATAATCCCCTCCAGTGTTAGGAGATCCAGCGTCCTCCTTTAACCACTGAAGGAGCCTGTTAAGCCATGGTGCACATACATACACTCAAAACAAGACACATACACATAAAAAATAAGTAAAACAAATATGCTTGAATTATGATCATCTAAATATTTACCTTAAAATCGGCTACCTCAGCTAAATTTAATAAATGAAATAAGTATTTGTCTGTCATCCTAATAGCATGCCACCATATGACATTTTGTTAGAAATGTAAGTTAAAATGGGATGTTTTTACCTAATAAATAGCCTTTATAGACTTTATTGGCCTTAACGCAAGAGAAAATTCTTCAAGGTCATGTATAATAAACTTGAGACCTTGGAGGTTAACTGGAAATTCTTTTGTAAATGACTGCACTGGAGCAAAGTAGACAAAGAATGGGTGTGTGGTAATAGGGATTTTGTTTCTTGAGAGTCTTCCTTTACAACCATGGCTATGTGGAAATTACTATGTAGACAAAGCTTGCCTTGAATATGAACACATACTCAAGTGAAGCTTGAGACATGGTGGAATGGTAAGAGTGAGCTACCATACCTGGTGTTCCTTATTTTAATTACATATATCTGTCCTTGTGAATGCTCAAGGAGCACATTTCACCCCCTAGATGTACTTCCAAGTATAAAAATATGAATACACCACACATTATTCTATTATTTACTTCACGTTCACAACTATACATCTATTAATATCCTTTAAAATCAAATCTACATATAACTGAAGGAAAGAGAGCATTTAATACTCCAAATCCTTTTTGATACCAATGGATTCATACTCATTTAACTATAAATGATGAACCAGACTTTTGTTTTCAACTAATTAATCTTCCATTAGACAATGGATGCTAGAGAGCTATATAATCATCCAGTATTCCCAAAAGCATCCAGTCAGTGAATGAGTTTTTAAACCCTCATAGCCTTATTCACTAGTGATAATATTTTTTTATTTTTCTGAGTTCCAGATACACTGACAACAAATGTAGAGAGCTGGCCCTTGTTCTTAATAATATCTAATTGACAGCTCTTCCTGCTGAGGGTGAGCATAGGGCACAGAGTCTAGCTGGCTCTATCTGAAGTCAGAACCATGTGACTCTTAACACCTTCCTTAAATGTTCTGCTCTTTTATTATTGTCAAGACATGATGGGGGTCATTTTTTTTCTTTGGTTTTCTCTGCAGCTGGGTACTTTGGGTAAGTAATATCAGTCTTACATATGTTCCTCCATGTTTTACAAATTTCAAACCCCACATTCAAGTATTTTTTTATATGATATACTTTGGGGGGAGGGAACAAAAGCTATACTGGTAGACAACATTTATAGTTCAGATGGATGGCCTGAGTCTTTCACTATGGTTTTCTTTTAAGTTTCTATAAGTTGTCATCAGTTTCTAAGAAAATATATGTTTTAAATTTGATTTTAAATCTTTTTACTATTGATTTTAAGATCTCAGCTTCTTATTTGGATGATAATGGCAATGTAATGGAAGCCACTGAATAAAATACATTCAATCAAATCAGCTTTCTGTATTTAACACACAATTATACCATATCTGATAAACAGCAGTGAGGTACATTAGTTTAAACATGTAAAATATATTTCTGTTGGCACTTATAGAGAACATTTTGTTGAAACTTTTTATGGAAATTGGTACAATTTCTTAAGTGTTGATTTTCCTAACCAGGTTCAAGGAACTATCTTCCCAGCTCCAAATTTCAATCCGGTGATGGATGCCCAAATGCTAGGAGGAGCACTCCAAGGATTTGGTAAGTCTTGGAAATACATGATTTCATTATTGTACTGTCTGTTTTTAACATCATGTTAACATGATATCATGAGTGTAAACTAAGGTTTTGTAGAAGACAGATACAAGAATATAGAATTAGAAGAAAATAATAAAAGACCATGATGCTGAGGAGAAATTACAACTTGGGTCCTGAAATGTGTTCCTTATGACCTCAAATGCCTCACTGTTGGCTCCTTAATAAGCTTCCAGACCATAAACGTAATCAAAAGAGGTCACATCCTGTCAACCTCTGCATGTTTTTTTCTTTCTAGAGTGTTTCTGTCGCTACTTACTCTTACACCCCAAACTAGTCTCCTGCTGTCCAAAGTGGCTCTGTTTACCCACACCTCATAAACTGTCTCAATATACTTCTTGCCTGAGATGCTACTTTCTGTCTTGTCTACTTTTAGCCTAAGGTCTCCAAATGAACATCCTCTCTGCTTCCTTCTCTGAGGCTCTAACAACCGTGGTGTGCCAGGCATCGTTCTCTGTAGCTCCTTCTCCTTTGCTAATCATTTGCCTTGTGCCTTTCCACTGTACCTGCAGATGGGTCTGTGAGTTCCAAGCATGTGCAACTTTGCTTAGAAAACTGATGTTCATATGATAAGATCAGAGTTTAGAAAAGAAATGCACAAAACAAAGAAAGGAAAACACTTTGTTTTTAATTCTTTAAGAATTTTGGGGTTCAGTCAGAGAAGATATAACCTAATGCTGAAGAGACTGGAGGTCCAAAGAAGTTTAGAGTTTTGGGGGGGGGGAACCTCCTCATAGAGACAGAGTGGGTTGGGGAGGAGGTATGAATATAGACCAGGAGTGGAATAAAATCTGGAGTGTAAAAAAGAAATAATAAATAAAAATAAATAAATAAATAAATAAATAAATAAATAAATAAATAATAAAGAATTCTTTAAGTTTCAGTGTGAAACTTAAAGACTAATATATTTTCCTTGAACAAAACTGATTTTATTTAAAGACTTATAAATAAGCAGATAGATAGACATGGACAACATAAAAGAAATTATTACAGAAAAACATTAAGAAAGCAAACTCTTGGCCTCTCACTTGGTCTTTTCTGCTGGGGCAGACTAGCTAGCTGGTCTGTTCCCCAGAAGACACCATATACTGACCCATCTGAGGAGAATCACTGTACTCAGAGCAGTGGCGGAACCACTGCACTCAGAGCAACAGAACAACCACTGTACTCAGAGCAACAGAGAATCACCTTCACTCAGAGCAGTTGAGGAAGCTGGATTCTCAGAAGCTCTAATATGCCCAGGATCGTAGGATTTCAGAATCCCAGAGGCAGCCTGAGTCCCAGGAGCTGTTCCACACAGGATCTCAAGATCACAGGATCCCAGAGACAGCTGGACTCTGAGGAGTTCTGACACAAGCAAGATAACTGGAAAGACAGTCTCCACTCAGAGACAGTGAGTGTAGGTAGCACTAGAGTTAACAAGATGGCGAAAGACAAGCACAAGAACATAAGCAACAGAAACCATAGTTACTTGGCATCATCAGAACCCAGTTCTCCCACCATAGCAAGCCCTGGACAACCCATCACACTGGAAAAGCAGAATTAAAATCACTTCTCATGATGATGATAGAGGATTTTAAGAAGAACATAAGTAACTCCCTTAAAGAAGTACAGGAGAGTACAAGTAAACAGGTAGAAGCCCTTATAGAGGAAACACAAAAATCGCTTAATGAACTGCAAGAAAATACAACCAAACAGGTGAAGGAATTAAGCAAAACCATCCAGAATCTAAAAATGGAAGTAGAAACAATAAGTAAATCACAAAGGGAGACTACCCTGGAGATAGAAAACCTAGGAAAGAAATCAGGAGTCATAGACAGAAGCATCACCAACAGAATACAAGAGATGGAAGAGAGAATCTCATGTGCAGAAGGTACCATGGAAAACATTGACACAACTGTTGAAGAAAATGCAAAATGCAAAAAGATCCTAACACAAAACATCCAGGAAATCCAGGACACAATGAGAAGACCAAACCTAAGGATAATGGGTATAGATGAGAGTGAAGATTCCCAACTTAAAGGGCCAGTAAATATCTTCAACAAAATTATAGAGGAAAACTTCCCTAACCTAAAGAAATAGATGCTGATGATCATACAAGAAGCTTACAGAACTCCAAATAGACTAGACCACAAAAGAAAATTCCTCCTGTCACATAATAATCAAAACATCAAATACACAAAACAAAGAAAAAATACTAAAAGCAATAAGGGGAAAAGGTCAAGCAACATACAAAGGCAAACCTATTAGAATTACACCAGACTGCTCACCAGAGACTGTAAAAGCCAGAAGATCCTGGACTGATATCATACAGACCCTAAGAGAACACAAATGCCAGCACAGACTACTGTGCCCAGCAAAATTCTCAATCACTATAGATGGAGAAACCAAGATATTCCATGACAAAACCAAGTTTACACAATATCTTTTCATAAATCCAGCCCTACAAAGAATAATAGATGGAAAAATCCAATACAAAGAGGGAAACTACAACCTAGAAAAAGCAAGAAAGTAATCTTCCAACAAACCTAAAAGCAGATAGCCACACAAACATAATCCCAACTCTAATAACAAAAATAACAGGAAGTAACAATCATTTTTCCTTAATATCTCTTAACATCAATGGACTCAATTCTCCAATAAAAAGACGTAGGCCATCAGACTGGATACTTAAACAGGACCCAAAATTTCAATGCATATAGGAAATGCACCTCAGTGACAAAGACAGACACAACCTCAAAGTAAAAGGCTGGAAAACAATTTTCGAAGCAAATGGTGCCAAGAAACAAGCTGGAGTAGCCATTCTAATATCGAATAAAATCGACTTTCAACAAAAGTTATCAAAAAGTTATTATAAAGAAGGACACTTCATACTCGATAAAGGAAAAATCTACCAAGATGAACTCTGTTCTCAACATATATGCACCTAATGCAAGAGCACCCACATTCATAAAAAGAAACTTTATTACTAAAGCACAAAGCACATATTGCAACTCACACAGTAATGGTGGGGGCTTTGAACACCCCATTCTCCTCAATGGACAGAACATGGAAAGAGAAACTAAACAAAGACACAGTGAAACTAAGAGAAGTTATGAGCCAAATGAATTTAACAAATATTTATAGAATATTTCATCCTAAAACAAAAGAATATACCTTTTGCTCAACACCTCATGGTACCTTCTCCAAATAGACCATATAATTGTTCTCAAAACAGGCCTCAACAGATACAAGAAGATTGAAATAATCCCATGCATCCTATCAGATCACCACAGACTAAGGTTGGTCTTCAATAATAACAAAAACAATGGAAAGCCCACGTACACATGGAAACTGAACAATGCTCTATTCAATAATAACTTGGTCAAGGAAGAAATAAAGAAATTAAAGACATTTTAGAATTTAATGAAAAATGAAGGCTCTTCATACCAAAAATTATGGGACACAATGATAGCAGTGGTAACAGGAAAACTCATAGCTCTCAGTGCCTACAAAAAGAAACAGGAGAGAGCAGACACTAGCAACTTGACAGCACATCTGAAAGCTCTAGAATAAAAAGAAGCAAATACACCCAAGAGTAGTATATGGTACGAAATACTCAAACTCAGGGCTGAAATTAACCAAGTAGAAACAAAAAGTACTATACAAAGTATCAACAAAACCAGGAGCTAGTTCTTTGAGAAAATCAACAAGATAGATAAACCCCTAGCCTGACTAACCATAAGTCACAGAGACAGTATCCAAATTAATAAAATCAGAACTGAAAAAGGATGCATAACAGAAACTGAGGAAATTAAAAAAAAAATCATCAGATCCTACTACAAAGGCCTATACTCAACAACACTGGAAAATCTTGATGAAATGGACAATTTTCTAGACAGATACCAGGTACCAAAGTTAAATCAGGATCAAATAAACCACATAAATAATCCTATAACCCCTAAAGAAATAGAAGCAGCCATTAAAACTCTCGCCCCCAAAAAAGGGCAGGACCAGATGGTTTTAGTGCAGAATTCTCTCAGACCTTCCAATAAGACCTAATACCAATTCTCTTCAAACTATTCCACAAAATAGAAACAGAAGGAACACTACCCAATTCATTCTATGAAGCCCCAATTACACTCATACCTAAATCACACAAACACCCCACAAAGAAAGAGAACTTCAGACCAATCTCCCCTATGAATATCGATGCAAAAATACTCAATAAAATTCTCGCAAACCGAATCCAACAACACATTAAAACAATCATCCATCATGATCAAGTAGGCTTCATCCCAGAGATATAGGAATGGTTCAATATTCGGAAATCCATCAATGCACTCCACTATGTAAACAAACTCAAAGAAAAAAACTACATGATCATATCACTAGATGCTGAGAAAGCATTTGACAAAATTCAGCATCCCTTCATGGTAAAAGTCCTGGAAAGATCAGGAATTCAAGGCCCATACCTAAACATAGTAAAAGCAATATACAGCAAACCAGTAGCCAACATCAAACAAAATGGAGAGAAACTTGAAGCAATACCACTAAAATCGGTGACTAGACAAGGCTGCCCACTCTCTCCCTACCTATTCAATATAGTAAAGGGAATAGTTTTGAGCTGTGCATTGCCTAATGATACAGTTAGATTCTTAACTCACCACCATTAGTAGCTATTTGCATAAATGTATATTCTCAGAAGAGCTGTGTGGATATTTTAGCTAAAAGCTGTATACTTTCCAAATCTCCATGTGACCAGGAATAACTGAAAGCATTATTAGCCTATATCACTAAATCTTAACAAAAGGGTATGCATGTCAAAAGTGTTCTGTTTTGAAATATACTCAGCTAAATGTGGCCTCCTTCACTTTGTAGAAGACCTTTCTCAACATGACAATAATCATGAGATTTTGCAGATGTCCTTCAACAAACTAAAGATGTTTCTTTTGATTCCTACTTTGGTTAAAATTTTTGTCTTGAACAGTTGTTTGTTTTGTCAAGTACCATTTTTACATCTTTCCTTATTGTCATATAAATTTGATTGTTAAACTGTCTGTGGCTTAGGTTACATTGATTGCCTACTGTTAGACCTATGCCTAATTCTTCATACACATTTTTATATACAATTTTTGAGGGATTTGGGGGAAGGTGAGTCTTTTTCATGAAAGATCTTTGTTGTGAGCTTACCAGTGATGTCTGTCTCTGATTTGAACATTAAATTAGTATGGGTTGGCATCAAATGCCATTTCTGGTATGTGGAAGAAATTGTATACAATTGCTTTTAATCTTTTAAAATTTGCATTCATTATTGAAACATCTAATATTAATAATTTTATTCCAAGACACTATTAATTATTGATTCAATTTTTATAGCTATAGATCTATTCAGATTGTCAATTTCCTTATATAAATTTGATTAAATCATACCTTTGAAGAAATTAATTCATTTATCTAGACAATTAAAATTTGAAGCATAGAGTAATTTATAATATACCTTTATTATCTTTAATGAAGTCAACGGATAATGGGCTCTCTTTTTTATATCAGTATTTTGTTTCTGTATTTTAATTAACCCACTTTAATAAAATGTTTGAGATCCAGTGAAAATTATTATGCAATATCTCATAAAGAGTAAGTGAACAAAAAATGCTATAAAAACTAATAAACACAGAGTAAATCACAATGATAGTTTATGTGAAATCTCAACAGAGCAACAAAGACAGATGAGTACAGTAGCTCAATAAATGTTATGATTATAAGAAAAACAGTAGAAATCAAAAAAGCTTTTATTTATTATTTATAAATATGTTCACAGTCTTCTCACTCTTTCTAAATCTTTGTGCTTTTTTTAGATGGATGGATTAAATGAATGATAGGTAGATAGATAGGTAGGTGATAAAGATGATGATAGACGATAGATAGATAAATATATAGAGATAGATAGATAGATAGATAGATAGATAGATAGATAGATAGATAGAAGATAGATACTACATAGATGATGGTACATGATAGATAGATAGATAGATAGATAGATAGATAGATAGATAGATAGACAGATAGACAGATAGACTATAAAACTATTTCCAGTATAAAGCTGAGAAGAGCAAGGATATTTATGTCTCAGGAGAGAAGAAGACACTTAAACTTCTGTGTTTTCTAAGATAATAACCCTAAGAAAAAGGAGGTCATGAGGCTTTTCATAAAAATAAATCAGTTTATATTTTAGTCAAGCTGATGCAAAAGTTAAGGTTATCTTAGTCATTCTATCTGAATAGTCAGAAATAAAGCACAATAGAAAACAATTATGAAATATGACTTCTTATGAGTTGGAATGTGATATATAATGTCATGTTATGTCATGCCATGTGGTATTATGATATGGATAAGTGAAGGGTACACAGCACAAAAAGACAGTCTAGGTAATGGATGAAAGAGACCATGTTCCATCCACAGTTTGATAGGCCCACTTCACCCAACTAAAGAATGAAGACACATTGTGCTTTCATTATTTCCTTGTGTGTTTCTCCCCTTTCTCCTGTGAGTCCCACAAAAGAAGTCCTATTTCTATAACACAAGTTCATTATAAGCCACATCATTAAATATACCTTGGGAGCATGTAGGATTCATCAAGTGTTGCTATGTGATAGATATCCAATAGAATTTTGAAATGTAAAATACTAGTAGGTTTAACACCTGCCCCTTTGTTTTAGTCCATAAAGGATGTAGTCTTCCAAGATACTGAGTAAGATCTATTTTTTTTTGCTCCTTCCTAGAGTGCAACAAAGACATGCTGATTGACATCCTAACACAACGCAGCAATGTCCAGCGGCAGATGATAGCTGGGGCCTATAAAAGCATGTATGGCCGGGTAAGACTTCTTCACCTTAACCTGTTTCTAGGTCAAGTGCATGAGTGTCAGCACCCTTCCTAGAAAAATGAATCTATTATTTTCCTCAGTTGCACTGAGCACAAACACTTCTGAACTCTATGTTAGTTTAAAAAATTATGTCTTACTCTTACATGTTTCAAGGGATAAGAGGTATATCATGAAAAGTATGTGTATAAGAAGTATATTCACATTCACAATGGCTACCTGTGCTTTTCCAATTCATGCAGCATCTGACAAAAGAAAGATTGGCTAACCTTTAATTCCACTTGGTCCAATTAGGCTATAAGTGTTGGGCTGGGAACGCCTATATGGAGCTTTAGGGGAGGCATAGAGCAGACTAATGATCACTGGGGTCAAAAAATAACATCTTTTCCTCCAGTTCTCTGCAGGTCCTAACCTAGCTTTGTGCCAATATGAATTTTCTTCTACCTTTTCTTCTCCACAGCGTGCAGTGATGGAGACCATTAACAAAAGGAATGGCAGTTTAAAAATAGTTTAAGGCAATAAAACTATCCATGTTTTAAAGTAATCACATTCTAATTTCAAAGCAAGGACCATTAAGGAGTCTTTGCTTTTGTTATGCATTTAAACCACAGATTCAGAACAAAAACTCTTCGGGCCAAAAGGGCCTGGAACAGCAATTACTTCGTCAACTGAACATTATCGATGAAACACTCTCATAAAACTATCTCTACAGAGTTAGTCCATAGTAATTGACTCAGTCTCTAAAGCTCAGCCTTTGAACAACCATAACATATGTGACAAAAAAGTAGCCCTGTGTTTTAGAATCGTTAATGATCCAGAAAGCTCTACAAGCAGAGACATGAGTTGAATTTCCCAAAGGAGGAAACAGTTACACGTTTTGTCCACATAAAACTGTTAGCTCAGCTCACACTCACAGAGCTATCTTTCTTGCAAACGATATGTAAAAATGTCCAAAGTAGTACTGTTGTTGATCTATTATGATATAAATGTACACAGTATTATAAGCAGTGCTATTTCTCAGGAACATATTTTAATCCAAGTGTGTACATAGACCCTTCCTTTTCATATGGCTTCCTTTTCGGCCGAATAACTTCTGTGTATCAAGCTCTGCAGAAAGTATGCCAAAGCAGATTAAAATAAGCCATGGGTTCCTTAGACTCATGGGATTTAAAACTCATTAAAACATAACTTAGACTAGAGAGAACCCCTTTTCACTGAGATCTTAGGGTTGTTTATCCTGTGCTTTGGCTGAACAATTGGCATGTCATGACTAAATAACTAAATTGCTGAAGAAATAGGACAACACAGAGCCAGGCTTGCTCCTCACCTCAGAAATACCATTGTCATTCAGTCAGCTGTCAAGTCCTGCCAATTATCACTCCCTCACATTCTTCTCTTTTCCCATTACAGATTCTTAATTTAGATCACCATGGTTTTCAGGCCAGACTTATCCTAATTGGTTCCTACTCAATTGCTACCCAATCTCTAAACCCCTCTCCCTCCTACTTTCTTTGACTAGATCAGCCCACTTATAACCAGAATGATGCAAAACTCAAAAATTCTCTAACACTTTTTCTATTACTCCATCAAAAGTATCTATGTGTACATGGCACAAACTTTTTCTCAAAATATAAGAAGCCCTCCTTATTTCATTTTTGTTTTATATCCTCTGTGTGTGTCTCTGATTCTCTGTCTCTCTCTTCTTCCCCTTATCCATCCCTCCCTTTTTCCCCACTCCATCTGCCTCTCTTTTATCACTCTCGTGCTCTCTTGCACACCTTGACTGTATCTATCCCCTAGGAAACATCTGTTTGCCTCAGCACCCCTGCCTGCTCTCGCTCCTTTATCATACTATTTCATCATCTTCAGTAGACTCACTTCTTTCACATTGACTGTACCCATCAAACTTGCAGACATCAGATACCCACTCCTCAAATCCAGCAGAACCTATCACATGAATTTGTCTTGATCTGTTCCTCATTACCAGTGTGCTAACTTGGAATAACTTTTGTTTGGCCAAACCATAGTATAAATGCTTGCTTAATACCAAGACTGCTTGATTGATGTCTGTAGGATGACTATGACCACAGAGCTAAGTGAAATCCCTCTAATAAGATGCAGTCAGACTGTGAGTGCTCCTGAAAAGCTCTCTGCTCTGAATTAGTTGCTTCCCTTTTCAGTCTCAGAGTTCTTTCTACATAATACCATGACACTAGCTATTGGTTTGTGTTTAAGTCTTACCCAGTTCACTGTAACATCTAAAATAAAACACGGACTGGCGTATTTTGTGCCTTTCCTCTAGAACTCAGTCCAAGGTCTAATATGTAGGAAGTTCTTTATTTAGAATATAAGTTAGTCTAGTGTGTTGTGTTCTGCCCATCTGCTTTCTACCATCTTCTTTGAAAATAGAAAATAAATTAAAAGGGAGGATCCCCTCACCATCTGCTTTAGAGTTAATATATACTCATGGTTGCCCGAATTTCTCTTTTCCCTCATCCTCCTTACAGTGGTTGCAATCATGTAAATCTGTACAACCTTCAGGTAGGTCCATCTGACCTCTGCCACTGATAATATCCAGAACTGCTTCTTCTATTTGACATTTATTGCATACTGCTTTCTAAGTCGATAACACAGATTATCTTCTATGTTAATTGTTGATATTTTTATTTTCATTCACAAGAATAATCAAGAAAACAACAGGCTTTTTGCCTTAGGTGTTTGGAAAGCACAATCTGAGACACACTCCCTAAATGCCTTCTGACTGATAATTCATGTTAGCACCAGGCTTTTGGAGTTCAACAGCATCGAGTTCCTTAATATAACAGAAAACAAATCCTCAAACTAACTAAAAAGGTGTTTACTGTGCAGCTTCTTGGCATAGCAGTCAATCTAAATAATGAAATTACCCACGCGACTTTCCAGCCACAGTAAGTGATAGCTGTTGACAATGCAACTTCCCTAAGGGCTGGGGAGAAGGTTGTTCATCCACAACGAGCTTCCCAACAAGACTATGGTTCCTCGAGGAGTTCAAGTGAAGCAATAAAGCAATTTGGGTTCCCAGTTTTCAGCTGTAACGGGTTAACTCTGAAATATGTTGATTTCTATCAGTCATATCTAATCACAACGTTGGTTGTATAATTTTGTGCAAGGCCAGAACAAAATCATCTGACTAAATGGCACCTTCCACAGCATCTCCTAACTGCCCTTTGTTCTCAACTAAGAAAGCACAAGAGTTGTCACAGGCAGTGAATACCCCATGTTCTTCAATGTCAACTGCTCCAGAAAGTTTAATGCTTTTGACAATGTAACTCACTCAAAGTATACATTGATTCTAATAACTCCCTCTCCTGTTCTCTGGTGTGTGTGGGGGGGAGGGTCCATAACACTTATCATCTTAATATATCCATCTATTCTTATTCATGGTGTGTCACCTCCCTCTAATACTCAAGCTCCAGGAAGAAAGAAATATTTGTTTCATTCACCAATGTGTCCAGAATACCCACCACAATTGAACTGAATGACACTATTGACGGAACCCAGGTCCCCAAAATGTCTATATCAGAACCCTATCTCCCAGTGTAATGACAACTCAAAACAGAATTCTAAGGAGATAATTCAGAGAAAAAAACCAGAAAACATAAAAAGGATAGATCCCTCTTCTAGTAGGACTTCTTTTATAAGTAAAAGAAGAGTCACCAAGGGTGTGTGCATGATGAATAGGATGTAACCATGGACACATGAGGGAAATAGATCTCAGTAGAGATCAAGGTTGTACACCAAGACCTTTGACTTTCCACTCTTTTGCATCCTGAAACAGAAACTCTGATATTTAAGCCCATGGCATCCTGTTATGGCAGCCCAATCTGTCTATTTCCACTGGTACTCCATAAATAGATGTGAATTACAAAATTTTCATTCTACAAATTTATTGTTTTTCTCAACTACACTTTCCCCTTCTATCCCAGAGCTTCATTGTTAAAAATATCAATGCCTGAAGCATAATATAGCTAAAACGTAGACTTCTAGAAATTATCTGATCTACTTTATAGGTATATTCCTCCTTTTTACAGAAGAATACTTTCTCCTTCACACCTCAATTCTAGTTTGAATGGGAATAATAGACATAGCTTTAGTTCAAAGACTGAAAATAATTATATGGTTTGTCACTGATAAATATTTTATAAATATTAAATAGGTATTAATGTAAATTAAACTTCCTGATAAAACTGAGGTCTTAACAGATAAGAAAAATAATTTCTCATTTCAAAAAACAAAAAAAGAAATACAAAAGAATCAAAGTTTCAGGACTTCAGAAAATCACCTCTTTAGTTTTCTTATTGAAATTGTTTCTCCTTGGAATAATATTTACAGTAGAAAAGACAGGAAGGAAGAATGAGAGGCGAGGGAAAGAAGGAAAAGTAAAATGAGAATACAGTTATCTCTGCATTAAAAGTAGCCTCACTGGGCTTCAAGTTGCTCTCTAAGGAATGTCTGTGAATTTGCATCTGTACCCACAATGCATAATTCCTGTTCCCCTTAGGTGACCAGCAACACTGGATGATATGAAGTTTCATCAGTTCAACCTGTCTATCATGTGGGCACAACTGAAATCTCACACATCAGTTTTAACCTTCTATCACATGACTGTAACTGAAATCTCACCTAGTTTTAGTTTCCCTTCTTTTCCATGGGAAGTGTAATGGCGGATAGCTTTCTGTGTCCCTTTTATAGACAAGATGCTGCTTCTTGGCAACTAGCAGTCTGCATCCTCTATGCTTTTTTTTCAGCATTTTGTCCTTTTATATTGATATGCAGGTATTTATACTTTTATACTACTCCTTTATTGATGTTATACTAATTGAAAATATTTCTATAGTTATATTTTATATCACATGATTATTATTTTAATGATTATAACTATATAAAATATATAATATAGATAGATAAAATATATCATTATATAGATAAACATTAAGAACTATGAAAAGTATAGG